AACTCGTCTTGACGTGACGTCATCAGCTCGCGCATCACAGAATGTAAACAACACTGTATAGAGTGAACGTGTGGAGCTATCACCAAGAAGAAAAAATCTAATCCATCTCATTTACCGACGAACATTTCTACTAAAGACCGGGCAAAAAGTGGGGGGAAACTATTCTGCACCCCGTGCAACTGTGTGTTGGAGCATAAGAGAAAATCGACGGGGACGACCCACTTTGATTCATTCAAACATTCGAAAATGCTTTCTGCTGCTGAGGACAAGAAAGCCAAACAACTCACGTTCACCGAGGCATCAACCTCCAAAACCCTTTCGAGGGCTACAAGAAACGAAGTGAGTAGCCTACAAGATTGAAGCTGGTCAGATAACGAACGAGTAAATGAAAACGGAATGAGGCGGAGAAGTGTGTGTGTGTGCGTGTGTGCGTGTGTGCGTATTTGTGTGTGTGGGGTGTGTGTGTGTGTAGAAAAAAAGCCCAATTGCTTTTACAATAAATAAACATTGAATGTGTTTAATTGAATAGTAAAGCGGTTTAACGTTAGTGGCAGGTTGTGTGTGAGAGAGAATAAATAAGAGCCCAATATTTAAAACATTTTTTATTCTTTTTCCCCTCATATTTAGCATATTTAGCAACTTCCCGCATATTTCGCAATTTCACCGCATAAAATCACATAAAAACCCCGCATGTTTAGCCCGCATAATCAAGGAATTTAGCCCGCGTTTTTCTGGAGGGTCTAATTAATAAGTTGACACTCCCAGAGTCGGACACACACACACACACACACACACACACACACACACACACACACACACACACACACACACACACACACACACACACACACACACACACACACACACACACACTGACAGTAGTGCTGTGTGGGCACTCTCTTCACTGACCCCTGAGCAGTATAAACACATTGGCTCAGCTGGCTCCCCCGAGAGAACATCTGACCAGACTTCCATTGTAGTGATTTATCCCCTCTGCTCCTACACGCCTCCACTTTTGACCCGCAGCAAAACTTTCCCTCCATCAGTCCATCCCACCGTGCCTTCAGTGCTTTAGTCAAGATGACATTCATTCATGTTTTATTATAAGCCATTTATTTTTGATATTTGGAGCTTGCGTTTCCGCCAGGGGGCCGTCTTTGCCGTCATTTGACGCCCTTATTCAGCTCGGGACGCCCTGAACTCGAGCCGAGGGTGTCCACAAATATTAATAATTCGAGAGAAGATAGAGTTTTTATCGCTTGAAATGACGAAAAACGAAAAAGGACAAGGACATCCCTCTGTTGGAGGGGCAAAGGAGTCTGGTGGGATTATTTTCGGAGTATTGAAGATCTTTTCCCCGACATCGAAGGTGCCTGCCACAGGACAACACGGAACATGCACGATTTGGACGCGATGAGCGGGGGGGTTTTAGTGGAGCACGCGCGTGAACTGCGAGCACCAGGGCCTCGCAGCGGGGAAACTGAGGCTCCGTGGTAAACTGTGGTAACATGAAGAGCTGTTTGAAAATAATGTATCTAGCCTCTCAAATATGTTTTATTTCATTTTTTATTTCATTTTCTCAGTTTTGTATCATGTTAAACTGAATATCTGACTGGACTGACACAACAAGACATTTAAAGACATTTGAGACTGATATTTTTCACCATTTTCTCTCATTTTATAGCCCAGGTGATTATTATTGTTAATCTAGGGGGAAAAGGCATTAGTCGATTTAATACAAATGTACTTTCAGCCTCCTCTTCCATCTTGTTTTTCATTTTATTTTATTTTCTATCTCTGGCATAGTAACATGTAAATGTACCTTAATTCCACGAGAGTCTGACACTTCGTACTGATTTGCATTCCTTATGTCCCCTCCTACATTCCAGCTGATGGAGCCGGTGTGCCACCAGCTGTTCGAGCTGTACCGGAGCTCTGAGGACCGCCTGCGCCGCTTCACCCTGCAGTTCCTCCCCGAGCTGGTGTGGGTCTATCTGCGCATCACGGCGAGCCGGGACCGCCAGAGCAACGGCTGCATCGAGGCCCTCCTCCTGGGCATTTATAACCTGGTGGGTGTCTGTAGAAGTGTGCGGGGAAGCACTGGCAAAACCTTCTAGCAGTGTGTTCACTTAGCACAATGCTAGCTTACCGAGGATCTTATGTGGGCTATTATGCATCAACACTCTTTTCTCTAGTCTATTAACAATTACTAAGAAAGAGTCAGAAAAGCTAGTAGAAGTGGCTTTTAGACTTCATCTACAGCTGGTCAGGACTGCCAAAGTTAAGCCCCTAAGGTTCAATTTGCCCTGGCAGATGTTCTTGGTTGAAAGACATGTAATTGTGAATGTCTCATTTTAAACAGTTATAACATAAATTGCTGTTGTTTTGTTTGTTGTTAGGTTAAAAAAGCTCTACATTTAAAGTATCGCAAAATGATGACTTGTCTAATAGTCTGAGCAAGAACATCCAGAGTAATACTTTGTTCAGGAAGTCCGTTTGGCACAAGTGAGGTAAGGAGAGGTAGTGGCACACAACACATTTGGATTATTTATTGCTTTCGGCTAGCCATTAAGTTTCAGTTTTGGCCCTCAAAGCGAGAAGAATTGGGCAGTTGTGGTCAAGGTCAAGACTGCCTTAGAGGAACTCTGAGTCCCTGCAGCTTGAGGGATGATGCCCTGTAAACGACCCTGACAGAGTAACACTTCATTGTTATCACCATCATCTCCATCAGCAGGGATACCCACAGTGTCATAGTTCCCGCTGTTGAAATGAACTCTTCGAATACATGATGCTGTCTCACCAGGATACTGTTGCTGTTATATTGTCGATCTACAAAGAAAGTTTAAAGAAACCCTTATTTTTATTCCTAATTCCACTTATTTAGTCATTAGTGAGCCTCAGTATCTGACTTTGATGAAATAATATGCCATTATTTTTCCACTGGTGAATATGGATGAACACAGGTAGATGTGATATTTTTAGATGAAAGGCTCATCTTTTCTTTCAACCGTATCCAATCACATTTGTTTCTATAACTTTGAAGATAGCTGTGAAAGGCTCTGTGTTGATATTTGGTTATCTCTTTGGACTTAATAATACAGGTGAAACATTAGCGAGGCAGTACGCCTGTTGCCATTAAACACAATCTACAGGGAAATCTCCGGTTAATGGACAGACCCAGGATAGATTGCATCACCAGGAAACACCCTTAGGGAAATGGGCTAAGAGCTAGAGATATCAATAGGAAGAGCTCCATGTCAGCCAACACCATTGAAGGTATATCCATGCATAATTTATTCCTCCATACAACTCCACACTCACACACTCTGCTGCCCTGTACATAGACGTTTCTCCTATGTTCATTGGTGACTCTGCTCTGACAAACAGCTCTGCTCTCAGCAGGTCCATTAGATATTCAGAGATATACTTCTGGCCAGTGAAGGGCAGGACAAGGCCTAACGTTGGGGAATACAATTGAAAAATACTTGTTTGGTAACCCAAGTTATGGATGCTTTGAAGAGTCAACTTGCTTTTTTGGCTTTTTATTTGCATTCATTTACTAAGCCAGGGAAAAAGAACCTGACCACTTTGACAGAAAATGTTGCAGTAAAAGCACATTCATCCATATTTAATGATACAACATAAACTCTACCACATAATACATGGATTATACAAATAATACCCAGGATTTTTACACACTTAAACTTCAATGGGTTCCTTTTTTAATATGCTAATGTGTCTCTGCGCTTTTCTCGCATCTCTTCCTCACGTCTCCCATTGAGGAATGTGAAAGAGATTTCTGCTTTAGTAGCGTCGGTCTTAAGAGACGTCGGTTTCTTATGGCGGCACAGCTTTGTGTCACCTAGAGGTTTGTCATGTATATGTCACACCACTTCACAAAGACTTCTACTTAGGATGCTCCTGTGTTAAGTTGCTCTAAGCGCCTCTAGAAGTCTCCTCGCTCCACGTCTCCTCAAGGTGCATTTAAGGGATTTGAAGATCCTCCACGATTGCAGAGTGGAGACGATTTCCAGGGTGGAGAGAGGACGTGAAGAAGCACAAGCTAGCGTAATGAAAACAGCCTAGGTCCCCCAATCAGTTTTCCACTAGGCTAACATGTTGTAAAAACAATTACTTTGATAATGACTCTTACACACCTCTTGAATCTTCCTCGACGGCGCGTAATTGGTTTACAGAGCAAAGTAGGAATAACAAGTGCTTTTTGGCAAATGAAGAATGCTCATCTCAACGTCTCTGTGAATGGACTTCATTATCGCTTCCACTGCGGCTGCGACTGGTTCAGATAATCAGTCATTACTTTTAGAAACGGCATCATGTTCATGGACTCATTCATCTTTGGGCTATGTATCACAATTGGAATTGAGTGGTGATGGTGCTGGCAGTGACATTTAATCTGTCAGTCAATAACACGTCCCAGTCTTACACCAACAGCGTGAGAGTCGGGGGACGGTACAGTCATCCGTATGCTGCCAAATGCTTTCGCCCAATGAAGGGCTTATCTGGGTAAAAGATTTGCAAACAGAATTGAAAGCTGAATATAGATAAAAATCAAGCATAACACTGTTTAAAACAATTCTCTTTTCCTGTAATAACAATTTTTTCTGTCTTTTTTTTTCTTCTGTTTTTTGTTTTGCAGGAGATCGTTGACAAAGAGGGCAACAGCAGGCTCCTCTCCTTCACAATCCCATCTCTGTCCAAACCATCGATTTACCATGAGGTGGGGCTCCCGCCTATGAATTATTTTTCGTATATACAGCACCACTCTACTATTTACTTTCACTGTTCTTGCCCTTCTCGTCCTCTTTTGCTGATCCGTCTCCTTCTCTCTGTCTATGCATTTTTCCCGCTGACTGTTATAGAGATTTATTTAAGTGGCTGTTTGGGAGATGACAACTCCTCAGTGTCAAATGCTACAGGAGGTCCATTTTCATTAACCTCACCTTCAGGGCTTATCCATCTGTGTGTTTAAAGGTGTCAGAAGACACTGAACAAAGCCTCCTCAGCTCACTTATCGTGTACAGCAAAAGGTTCACTATGAATCACTTTTTGAGTAAGATTGTCCCATTTATTTTTGCTCTTTCTTAGGATGTTCAGCCTGAGGGTAATTATTAGTTTTGACTAACTATCACCTGAAGTCTCTCAGAAGGACTGAACTCTCTTAGTTTTGTTATCCACCAGTCTGATTTTGAAAATATTTAGCATGAAAATGTGGGCAGGCATACAAGGTCTAGGCAGGTTCTTCTGTTGCTTTAAAATAAGCTGACTTTAAACTTCTATCCATCGTTAGTAACCTGTCTGCTAAAACAGGTCACAGTATTGACTGTTGTGTTGACCTGGATTTCACTAGGAAGTTGTTTAACAGGAACTGCTGACCTAGAATATTTTACTGAGGGCAGAGAGAAGCAGTGTTTGGCTAGTCTCTAGGGTTTTTTCTGCAACACAAAACAGAGCAAACAATATTTATTCATGCAGTATGACAGCCGTCAGTAGGTGCTTGTGAGTGTGCTCGTGAGTGTCGATGGGTCTACAGTGTGTGGCGCATGCTGAGGGCGATTCATCGCTGTAATTACAAGCTTGAGAGGCTCTTCCCTCCATGCTGTGAGAATGAAGAAAGCATGGAGGCGGGTGAGGGGAGGTCTTGGTGCGTGTGTGAGTCACATCAAGCTTCCCAGGCTGTAGTACGGCTCAACGCATCACAGGGCCTTTTCCCCAGACCTCCAGCATTAGCATGCTCCCCAGTCTCTCTTTTTGAATGAATCCAGCCCCCCCTCCATCACCAATAGGCATCACCCAAGATACGTATGACAGAATATCAAGTCGGTTTAGGGGTGACTTTTGTTCCGCACGCCATCAGAATAGATTGGTCATGTAGCATATTCTCACTTTGACATTAACAGTTATTTGTCACTGTTTCAGTCGTTACTTGTGCTACAGTACTTTCCCCTTTATTTGTTTTTAATAAAATACAGGGTTTAAAAAGGATTTGCTTATTCTCTATCAACTTTATTTGCTCTGTTTGATTGTTCCGATTGAGCTAAAGAAACACATTAGAAATATGTTTTAAAACACAAATACTGTAGCTAAGCTAATTAGACAACCAGTGGAACTTCCTGCTTTCATACAGTGCAGACGCTTTTCTTCTTGCTCTCACTACATATCTGTTGTATCATTTTTTTAATAGCATCACAGATCAGGTAGTGACAGCTGAAACGAGTGCCTGACTTATTAAAGGTTCACCATGTGATGTTTGAAGTAACACCTTGACATTTACACCACAAAAGGTTAATGTTTTATTTCATGAAAGTGAATGACCTTTATGGTGTTAGGGGAGGTTATCTTTATCTCAGGTGAGGTGTCTCACTTCAACTATAAAACACTGCCGGACACCCTAACCTGTCAGAATAGGTGCACAGAAGGTAGTGGAGGGACTCAAATAGAAACACGGATGAAATGGTTGAAAGGAACATTTTAAGCTTAATGTATCATGAAGGGCTGTGTAGAAGATACAGGGAGAAATGCAACACGTAACTTTTAGTGGCAAAGTTGTGCAGTCAGCAGTTTCTCGCTGAACATGGATACAAATCCCAACTTTAGAACCAATAAATAGGGCGACCAGAAAGCAATCAGGCGCTGCCAGTTAATGCTCTCAGGGGAGAGAGAGTTTGGCGGAGGTCCAGTTGTAATATCAATCGTCTGTAATGAAATCTGAACACTAATCACAGCAGTTTTCCATCTGAGCAAAGCAGAGGCCCCCGTTTGTCAATCAACAACTTGATGGGCACAACAGCTTGTTTGCTCCACATTACAATCGCAACATCATCATCGTCAATTTAGTAGCATGTTGTAAGAGCCACCACAGTGGACAAGTGTTTAATTAATGGGAGACAGGCGACAACTTTCCAGTTTCATTCCCGTCTATAATCTGAAGGTTTTTACAAATGCTTTTAAGATATCATGAATTAACTGATTTATATAACATTTTATTCCTAAATGTATTGGGGAATTGCTTATTTTGAACATATTTTCTGTTTATTTTGAAACTTTTTTCTGTTTTGTAACACAAAAGGTTGTCCATGTTTCCCTCTCAAAACCCATAACTCAAGATTTTTGTACCTGGCTTTATCAAATGTTCAGATTTCGATCCTGGAAACAAATGCAAATTAGCATTCACAGCGGAATAAGATCATGCCTCATTTGCATATGTAAATGTACATGACATCTCAAATAACTTTTTTAAACGTTTCTGTATGTAAGCAATCTGCTGTGGAAGTTTCATGGTAATATCTATTAGCTATTTATTAGTTAAAATGTAAACTAAAACTGTTTTATTTTTGTTTTTAGCCTTCTAGCCTGGGGTCCATGGCATTAACAGAGGGGGCCCTCTGTCAACATGATCTGATCCGAGTGGTGTACAGCGGCCTCCACCCGCAGAGAGAGACCTTCACCGCTCAGAACAGGTAACACTCCATCAGCTGTTAACAGACAGGGAATAATCTGAGACGCAGTAACGCCACAAAAGAGATTAAATGGCAGCCGTTTAGAGACATTATGCTAAGTCTTCTGTTCTGAACGGCTCACCAGAGAGGCGAACCTTTTGTTGCTTCTTGGAGACAGAAATGGCAGCGCAGTGGGCCGTTCAGCCTCACTAAACACAGGTGGCACCGCCAGACTGTCATCATTCCGTCCTATTTATTTTGTTCCTTTCTTTCACATCTCACCCTTCCCCATAAGATGAAAAATACCTTTTAAGATGATCAGAGCATAACCCTCGACTCTCATTCAGCCTCTTCTGGCCAGACTAAGCAGACCTGAAAGCTTTCTTGGCTCTTACAATTTTCTCTGCAGCTGTGGATGAATGGTAATCTTGGCATAGTAATGAAGCGTGCTGGAGTCCTGCCAGAAAATGGTGGTGCTTTTTGTTTGCAGTGACACATGCGCAGAGACTGACACAGCATCAGCTCTGGTACCTCAGAGGTGTGGGGGCAGCACAGATCACACTGGTCATCCCAGCCTTGTCCAAAGCAGCGTCCCCCCAGTGTCATAAATACATTGAATGGATTTCAGCAGGGCTGGGCTTATCTGGAAACCCATTTGTGTGCCCGGGCCTGAGATAGTGTTTATGAGAAGAAAGCCTGAAGCTCCTGAGCGTTGCCGGCTCACTCTGACTGATGATATACAACGAGGCCATTTACCTCCCCCTGCGCACAGTCAATTATGGCCCTTACACTCGAGGTCTTCCTTCTGGATGTACTCTATCAATACACACACTCTCCAAAACACACATGCACCAAATGGGGATGCAAAATATTGATATTTGTACAGAGATTTGAAAATGGATCACTTCAAGTAGGTTGTTTTGCTCTCATTTCAACACCATGTCTCTTCACCAGAAGCATCACTGATCTGTGAGACTTTACTAACGCTGTCCGAAATGATCTTGAGAATTGTCCTCATGTATCTGCAGTCCTTCAAAACAGAAGACCACAAACCCCTTAACTCTAATGTAATATTTAATTGTATGCGTCATTTGTCAACATGACATTTGAATTTTGAAACACCTCACTCTGTTATCAAAGAACCAAGGTTACGTTAAATAACCCAAAGTGTTTCACGGCAGCAGATGGCTTTGAATTGTCGAGAATATGAGGTATATTTTTGATTTCCACGCAACACACTGACTGCAACAAGTGAAAACAATACAACAGATACGAATTTACATCATTCTTATAATGTTTTATCTATTTTTGCCTTTGTTGCCAAAGTAAACCGTTAGCACCGTGTAAGCAGCCGACTTTTTAGCTCAGTCCCCTCCATAGTCACTTGTGAGTGCCGTGTGCGTGCATTCTTTCTGAAGACTCTAAGGCTGCAGCCACACGAGGACGATAACGGTCGTATCGGCTACAGTTCTCTTTCAAATAGATCAGTGACCATCAACTGGCGGCCCGCGGGCCACATCCGGCCCGCCAGAGATTCTCATCCGGCCCTCACAACGAGGGTGACTGTGGCGTTGGCGGAGTGGTTACTGCGTTCGCCTCCCACCCATTTTTTGTTACAACATCTCATGAGTAATGTGCAGTACCGGAGTCCAACAGAGAGGCAGCAGCTGCGGGTCAGTAGACTGCGTACTGCGTAACCTTCCCTACCTTGAAGAAGAACTGATCCTTCGTTGTGAAGAGTCTGGTTAATGCGCTCCGCACCACAGCAGTAGCCCAGCTGCGACAGAGTCCAACAGAGAGGCAGCAGCTGCGGGACAGCAGCCTAGAAGCAGTGTTGGGTTGTAACGGAATACATGTAACGGCGTTACGTAATCAGAATACAACAATATGCTAACTGTATTCAGCTGGCGTTACATTTGAAAAACGAGTAATCTGATTACAGTTACTTTCGTAAACCTGAAGTGACATTTTGGAATACTTATTGGAATCATTGGTGGAAAAGTTTCCTCACAAAATGTAATATT